GAGTAACCCCCATTAATCTTTGTTATAATGTTAAACTCTCAGGGTGAGAACCTGAGAAATGTTGTAGATGTTTAGTTTTCTTTATCAGGGAAATGTCTTTGAAACAGAGTTGTTTGGTGTTTTTACAGCAGCGACACATTGGAACAAACCTGAGACTCCCAACACAGGAAGACGGGGAAGGATTGGCCTCTACTCAGCGTTTACACTGTTTTTTCTATGTGGCTGTGTGCATCTTAACTTAACGACAAGCAGCCAGTGAACAGGGTTCAGACTCAGCGAGTGGACCAACAGAAGCTCTTTGACACTGAATATATATATCCTTTATTTAACCAGGTAAAAGACTCATTGAGATTAAAATCTCTTTTCCAAGAGTGACCTGGCCAAGAAGGGCAGCATGTACGAAATTACAACAGATAAAACACAGACATGACAGGCAGACAAATACAGCTGTTAAACACAAATAAAATGGCACATTAGCCAGTCAATATGCGAAGTAAAACAAACTATTAAAAATCATTCAAAACTGGCAAAATGTAAAACGATTTTAGGATATGAGCACTCACATCTACCAATGGTGTCATGTTCTCTGTCCTTTAAGATGGACCTGAATTCCCCCATAGTGATTACATCTGAGAGTTTCAGCTCCTTCTGAACATTGTTCCAAGCTGTGGGGGCAGCATATTTAAAAGCTGTTTTACCCAGTTTTGTTCTCACTGTAGGAACCAGCATCTGAATCAAATCTTGGGAGCGCAGGCCATATAGACTTTCTCTTTGACACATATATGTGCAAATGTAGGAGGGAACCAACCCAAGCAGTGATTTATAAATAAAACCCAACCAATGGGAAAGTCTGCGAGCAGACAAAGATGGCCAATTAGCAGCAGCATATAAAGTGCAATGGTGTACTCCATATCCACATCCAGTAATAAATCGTAAGGCACAATGGTACACAGTATCCAAGCTCTTTAGGCACTGGTCAGAGACACTATGTGTTACATTAATGCAAATCTATGAATATTGCACAGTCCTGCACAATACTGACTCTTTGAAATCGGCCACGCTCTGACACTTTACTTCGGGTATACTGTACATCTTATCTTTCTTTCGTTAAGAGATCAACTAAAATGACCAAATGTGATTTCTGAGAGAGGCATTGAATCCCCAGAGTCTCAGGATCCAGAGTTTGCAGGACGAGTCCAGTGGGACAAAGACGTCC